GGTCTGAGCAGCTTGTGAGACTGAATCTAGGGAAGGGGGGTGGGTAAGTGAACAGTCACAAAACAAGGGGTGCCCGTGCCCCCCTAAATCCTGCCAGAAACCAGGGGGCCTACTGAGAAGAGGCAGCTAACGGGAAGCTGTAATTTCTAGAATTGCAGCTTCATCGCACTGAGAACATCCAGGAAAACACCTGACTCAGCCACCCTGTGCTCTTGACGTCTACCATGTGCGAACAGCGACAACTTTGTTCCCCCGCCTTCAACCTGCTTGTTTCAGGAGGGATTCGACTTTGCTTGCAGGGGGCGCGGCAGTGCTCGGACGAGAGGGCCGCCCTCCCTGTCCCCGGGGCGCTGCCTGTGCACGTGGCCGCGCCCCTCCCACCCTCGACTCCCGAAGGCCGGTCAGCGCGCTCGGCCAACCTGGGTAACGGTCCTGCCCTGAAACAGCTGGTGACAGCCGTGCACCTAATGACTGCAGAGCTCAAGGACGTCAGTTGCCCGAACCTGCTGGGAGGAAGGCAGGCTTGAGTTTGCCAGGAAGCAAAGCTCGTGGGAAGGCAGGAGGGTCCCACCGTCGGTCGCCTAGAATCACCAAGGAGACAACCACCCAGTTAAAACAGAAGAGCCACCACCATGCGGAGTGTTGATTGCAACCAATTTTATTTCACAACTGCATTGTTGGGCACTTTATGGTGATGTGTAGTTCATCCAATATTGACTTTTGCATATTTTTTTAAAGCCCCCAAACAGTCCTGTGTATACAATGCTCTCCCAGTAGTACTCAGCTTCTGAAATGACTCACACTGTGGCCTCAAGGATGCAAGAACAATGAAGCGAGTCCCAGTGCCAGCAAATCTTTACAGGTATCTGTCACGGTGCCGCGCAAAGGGCTCGGTTCTTTTAAACGGTTATTCCTCTAAAGCAAAAGAAACATGCTTTGGCTAAGCTCAACTCTGAACCTCTCACATGCCTTTCCTGTGAAAGACTGATGCATTTTAAGCGGCAGGTCTCGTGCACTTTTTACTTGTCTGCTGTTTTAGACGCTGCTCTCAGTACTAACCACAGCAGATTCGGGGAAGCTCGCGTGAGTTCCGCTGGTTGAACGGCTCTCAAAACGCCCGAGTGGGGCGGGGCCGAGGCTCTGTGGCTGCGGCGCGCGTGCACGCGGCGCGGCCGGCGCGCGGAGCTCTGACGGTCCTCGGTCCTCAGCCCCGCGCCATCCACCGGTGGTGACCTGCTCATGTCCCTCGATGGCCCCTGCTGAGGAACATGAACAGATGTCCTCACTGAGAGCCAAAATGGCACAGAGACAAAGAGCCTGAGAGGTTTCTCGCATCAAAGAGGTAATCCTTTGTGATTCTACAAATAACAAACGATTGTACTGTCTGAAATTCCTTCCCTTCACTAAAGACTGGTTTGAAAAAACGTAGCTTTCCGGTTATGCAGCATCCAGTGAACATTACAGTTCGGTACCTTGTTTAGCTTTTTGGTATATTTGCGTATTGCATCCAGAGCTACCGGTTTCCCACAGTGCTTTTCTGCCTGATTCAAGTATCATAAAAGTAGAAACCTACAGAAGCTATAAGGTTAAACAAACTGTACATTACACAAAGAGCAACTCCATTTACAGAGAGTCCCAGGGCGCCGGCAAGGCCCTGTGCCAACGCCCCCACCTCCCACAGGCCATGCCGGTCAACGGGTGCGCGCAGGCCCGCGGCGCGGCCTCGGTACTTGTTCCGTGGAATCAGCGTGTTGCACTATACACATCTCCTTTAAAGTAATGATACTTTCAGTACTAACCTAAGGTTCAGGATTTTCTTATTGCATATTTATTGTTGCTGAGGCAGTTAGTTATAATGCAGTATCCATAATCCTTTTAAATAAACAAAAACATTTCTCCTGCCAACAATACAATTTTTTTCCCCCTAAAATCACTTAGAACATTGCTACACACAGTTTTACACAAATACTGAAAAACGTGACCTTAAGGCGCCTGCTGGAAAAGCAGATGGGCATCTTCATCCAAACTACAGTATGCAGGAAAAAATATTGCACAAAATCCTATTATTCTCAAAATAAAATATGCTTCTTTCTAAATACACGTGACTTCCTATCTTGACCAAACCGACACGTGACCTGGTTTGATCCAAACCATTCTGCCTCTTAAATAAGCTTTAAGAAACAGGCTCTAAGAAATGACAGGGTCCGATGGAGCTTGGCAGGGCCCGGGAGGGTTCGAAAGATCTAGTTCCTGTGTTGTGCAGAGCTTTGGAGAAACTAGATGTGGGTTTTCATTTGACATTCTTAAATTTATAGTCTGATTCACAAAACTCAGCCCCGAATCGAGGTCTCGTTTGCTAAATGAATTTCCATCCAAAAACTTATATATGAAAATAATTTTTTCCTGAAAACCCAGATTTTCTAGAAGAGACAGAAGATCTGCCGATGTTGAGGATATTCACAGTTTTCTCTGGAAGGGGGCCCACTCCTTCACCTTGGTTAAGAAACAGCTAGTTCATTAGCATCCCTGGATCCTATTAGTAGGCAATTAGCACAAAACGACAGCACTGTCCCATCCAGTTTTCCTTCAAGAGGGAGGGGACTGACTCTAGAGAACGCTGTTATCAAGACAGGGGCTGGGACCCCAGGACTGCCCCCCGCATGCCTCCACACCCCCCTGGGCAGCCACAGGGGACAGCGCTCCAGCCCCGGGTGGCCTGGGCGGAGACGGAGCCTCCGTGCAGGCGGAGGCTCCCAAATGGGAAACGCGGCCTCTGTCTCCGAGTCTGTCCTTTACAAGTAGGTTTCTTAGATAGCAGCATTATTACAGAGACTTTATATGATTATACAGAAAGTTAATGAAACCGGAAATGGCACTGTGGTTCTGAACTTACAGCATGTCTTAGAGAAAGCAGCTTTAAAAGACTTTTTTGGTAGCAGAATCTTGGGTTAATAACATCTAAGCAGATTATTATTATTATTATTATTATTATTGAGATTTACGATTCCTTTTCCTTTTACCTGGCTCCTTCACAGTGGGAATATGTCACTTATTTTATTTCCCTACATCCTCAATAACTATGCCTTGCCTATGACTGGTACAAAGAGTCAATAAATAAATAAGTTACTTTTAATCAGGAAAATAATCATGCTATAATTTGGTGCCTTTCTAAAATATGCTGGAGTAGGGGACCTTTGCAACACACAGCTGAACAACACTGTCACTGAAAACACCTGCTCCTCGGTTCGCACACTGAACCTCCGGCCGCCCTGAAATACCAGGGGCGTGACCGCGGAGGCGGGGCGTGAGCGCGTGGTGGTACCGGAGGTCCCGCTCATCTGCACAGGTCCGCCCGACGACAGGCGTTAGTTCTTAGGAAACAATTCCAACAGCGGGGGAGCAGACACTGGGTCTGGTTGTAATGGGTCAGGGGAGCCTAGCAGGAGACAGCCCCCGTCCCTCCCAGCCTCCCCGCGTTCTCCCTGCGTCCGCCAGGCTCCTGGGAAGCCTGCTTTAAGAGCAGGCTTCGAATACTCAGAATTTTCGTGGTTGGAAACACTAATTCTTGCTACTGGTCTCCTGGACGGTCTCCGCTCTTGTCTCCGCGGTGGGCTGCAAGAGCCGACTTCGAGCGCGCGGTGAGGCACAGGCCCAGGTTCGACTCCCTCGGCGGACGTGCTCCTCGTGAGCGGCCGTGTCCTCCACACGGCGCGGCGTTTGCGTCCAGCACCTCGCCAGGTGACCGGGGGAAGAAAAGACCGGGCGACCCCGAGGCCGTGGCAGGCCGCGCGCAGAGAATGGAGCCCGGAGTCGGCTGGGAGACACGCGTGACCGTCTGCCCCGGCGTGACCTTGGAAGGAGAAAAGCCCTCACTCGCTCACAGGAAGCGGCTGCTTCACATTCTTTGAAAAACCAGGGAGGAGCATTTGCGGGGCAGGCTCATAACCAGACTGGCCTTTCTTCCTTCCCACTGGAAGCCGCTCTTCTGATAAATGGGCTTTTTTATTGCAGCCTTCGATTAAGCAAGATGGAATTTTGTTTAAGCTTATAAAAACAAAATTGGATAAAAACCTTGAGTCTCTTGTGTTTTAAAAAATAAGAAATACTTTTTTCCTGACTATATAGAGAGTTCATTTATCTTCCTTTATAAAAATGAATGAATAATTGTCCCAAATAAAACATATCCTTTTAGATTTTGGAATGTAGTTTAAAAAAGAAAAAACTTGGGTCATTTTCTTTAGTGTTTAAAGACTGACCTGAATAAATGCTTTTAAGCAATGTTTCCAACAAAGCCCCTTCCGAGATCTGTTTTAACTGAACGTTAAATTCTTTCAGTAAACACTCCAGAGGGCAGTCCCTGATGGGGCCCTTGAATGGCTTCTAACACCTGTTCTAAAACGGCCGCTTTAAAAAACAGCCATGACGGGGACACGGAGAGCGTCCAGAGTGAACGTGCCAACGGCGACTCAGCCGCAGCATCGCTGGGCTTTTGTTCTCGGGGCGGCCTAGCCGCTCCTGACACCATCAGCTCATGGCTCCGCCTCCGAGGGGCTTCGAAGCGTCACAGGGAATCGGCGGGAGAGGAGGCCAATCTCTGAGCCGCGCTCCAATGATGTCCGTGGACCCTCTGTCCCGGAGAAGGGGAGACGCGGCAACTTCCTTGCAAGACTACAGTACGCGAGCTGGGGGGCAGGGGGAGGGACATGGGACCTTCACTACGGAGGAACCCAACAAGCACGACCTCCGCCAGGGGTCGAGGTCAACATCAACAGTCACACACCGCGCGGACACCGTGAGCCCTTCGGGTGATACGGTGAGTGTGGCACTTTCCTCGGGGACCTTCCCCCCCGAAACCCGCCATCCCAGGGCGACCGTGAAAAACCTATCAGACAAATGACGACAGAGGGGTCCCCACCATCGAGCCGACCGGCACCCCTCAACCCTGTCAAGGCCAACAAACAAGGCAAGTCCGAACCACTATTGCAGCTGGGGGTCGAAGGAGACACGACACCCAAGGGACCTGTGGTCTCCTGGACGGGATCCTAGGACAGGAAAAGGGCCGTGGGGGCAACTGAGGAAATGTGAACGCAGCGTGGACCATCAATACTGATTCGTGACTTGTGACGAATGGACGGACCACACGAGCAGGAGACGGTGGAGCGGGGACAGCGCGGGCAGGGACACAGGGGAACTCTCTGCACCGTCTTCACGGCCTGCCTGTGCGTCTGAAACTTCTAAAATGGAAAGCCAATTCCTTTTAAAATAAATCAGAGATGATACAAACAATGTAGATAATTACTCATTGAGGAAAAAAGATTAGCAGGTTTTGGTTTCCTTCCTTTTTTTTTTTTAAGTTGGGACAGTTTATCAGGGACTCCGGTGAGGCCGCGGAAGACGGTGCAGGTCCCCTGTAGCTCCCGCTGCCACCACGCACGTCACTGAGCGAAGGCGCGGGACCCGGGTACTTTCTGGAAAACATGGCTGCGGTGTCCACACCAAGCGCTTTTCAACTGAGCAAAAAACCCAATTTTGTCCTTGATTCAATGACTTAGGAAAGGCATTGCTGTGTTGCAGGACACTTCAACTTATCTTTGAGAATTTGCAAGGAATTCCGTAAATTATTCAGGTTTGCTTAGTAGAGGCGTAAGATTAAGGCAATTAGTGGGTCAACGGTTTCAGCTTTTCACGGGGAGTTCTGATAAGTTTTGACATCGTGATCCGTTCACGCTCTGCCAGGCTAGTCTGGAGCAACCGGTCAGGTCGCGAGGGCCAGTTACAGACACTCTTAGTTCACACAGAGTGGACGGCGTGAAGCACCAACGCTGGGAAACCGTATGCTCCATAGATACTTGCAACGTACAACCGGTACCTGATTTAAGGGCACAGAAGACCTGGCTGCACACTTACAAATCGATGGGCAACGTATACCCACGAGATCCACGAGTCCGCTCCAAATGGAAAATAACTTCTCGACAGTAGCAAGAGTTGTCATTCCTGCGCATAACCGTTTACCGCACCGACGGCAGGGTCCCGAAGGGCCCCCCGGGAAGCGTGGATGCAAGACGGGCTCCTCGTCGCGTCGGAGGCCTAAGCGCGGTTTCCACTTGTGTTTTCTTCCAAAGTGTCGAAGTCCGGCTGGAAGGTGGGTGTCATGTGACATAACGACACGACCTCGCGCAGCAGCCCGACGTCCTCTGAGGTCTCTTTGGCTTCTTTCCCTTCTTTCTCCCACGGAACAGACGGGGATGGGTGTCGCCCGGGGCTGGGCGCGAGCAGATCGTCTGAGGTCTGGCTTAGTGTTTGCCGCGAGTCCCTCCGGCCTCTTCCAGGCGGGGGCGCGCTGGGGGCCGCCCGCGGGGAGCCCTGCTCGGGGCCGGGGGCCGCCTGTCCCGCCCCCAGGCGCCTGCTCTCCGAGGCCGCGCGCAGAGGCGTGTCCCGGGTCTCCTCCTCCGTCAGGATGGACAGCGGCTCAGCGGCGCCGCAGCCACCGCTGGAGGAGAAGACGCGCTTCCGGGGCGACGGAGGGAGGTGCTTGCCGTGGAGGGCGCTGTCGTCCTGCCCCAGGTGCCACTCGGCCTGGTCCCCGGACCCCCTGTCCAGCAGGGCCAGGTTATTCTCGCTCGGGGTGTTGGATTTATTCTGGAAGAGGAAACAGCGCGTTCAGAAAAGTTACATAAAATTACAGCACGACTTTAGTAATTACTTTTTTCCACCTTGAAGGCAACAGGAACATCTTCAAGGTGGGGCGGGAAGTTTCTTCCCGAGCAGCTACGGCCTCGACGCTTGATCCACACGCCCCCAGTGGCCGCTGTACCAGGAATGCGGTGCGAGGCCGTGGCGACTGGGACGGGTAGACTGGCCGGGAGGGTGCTGGCGGGGCCCCGGGCAGCCGGAGTCCCCCTGCACCGTCCGCCGCGCTGTGGTGAAGCCGCGCTGGGGCTCAGTGGGGGGGCCTCAAAAATTAAACATGGAGCTGCCTTTGACCCAGACACCGCACTTCTGGGCATTGATCCGAAGGAAATGAAATCGCTATTTGAAGATGCAGCTGCGCCCCCGCGGTCCCTGCGGCAGATTTGCGAGCGAGGCCGTGGAAACAGCCTGCCTGTCCCCGCTGGGGGCGTGGACAGAGAAAGGGTGGCACAGAAACACGGTGGACTATTACTCAGCCTTACAAAGAGGAAAATTCTGCCGCTGGGGACAACGTGGGTAAACCTGGGGGAGGTGGAATAAGCCAGACGTGGGGGCCCAGCGCGGCTCGGTCTCGTCTGCAGGTGGCGTAGAGGCGGCTTCTGGGGGGCGGGGGCGGGGCAGGGGAAACGGGACATGCCAACCTGAGGGCACAAAGTGTCCGTCAAGCACCTGAACCGCTTCTGGAGACCTGGCGGTCAGCACAGCGACAGCGGTCGGCAACGCTTCACCTGAAATTTACTATAAGGGTAAATCTCAACTGCTCTAACCTCAAAAAAACAAAGCGCACAAAAAAGGGGGAAGGAGATGGTAACTATGTTAGGTGACGGATATGCTAATTAGTTTGCTTGTGGTCACCATTTCACAAGGCCAAATGTACCCAGTTCCATGCTGTAAATATATACAGTTTTCATTTGTTCCTTAGCCTTCCTTAAAGCTAGAAATAAAGTAAAATAAAAAGGATTTGCAAAAAAAATCCCACAAAATACAAATAGGCAAGTAGAGTATACAATCAGTGCCAAGTTCTGGAATTACTGACAATCACAGTTCTACCTTTACTGGTTTTAAAGCTTTCAGTTCCATTTGTTTAAAGCACTGTCCATTTTTGCAGTGCATTTATTAAATTTTTTTAAAGATCAAGGCAATAGGGGAAAAAAAGCAGGGACATTTCACGTCTAAAACATTCCCCAGAGAAGATGTCGATAAAATTAGATTGTCAGAAAATGCTGCTGCTCAGCAAAAGGGTTTCGATCGATGGCAATCACCAGCAGCACTGGGTAAATTAGAGGGGAAACCCTGGAATTTTGTCACTCAAAATGCTTCATAAGGACGAAACTTTGTCATGTTGTTGGAGCCTCGCCGCCGGCTCGGACAAGCGGGCGGGGTGCACTCACCACGGCCGCACTGTCCAGGGCGTCAGCGGAGCGGAAGAAGTCCAGGCTCCGCGCGGCGGCCAGCGTCCCACGGTCCGAGCTGTGCGTGCTCAGCGTGTCCAGGATCTCCCCGAGCAGGTCCATCTCCCCCGAGCAGGCGGTCGCCTCCGCAGAGTCGTCGCTGTCAGAGAAATCGGCCGGCGCGTCCTCGCCGTCCTCCGAGGACAACCTGAGAAACGCAGATGTGCTGTGGGGTGTGTGACCACAACGGTCCCGCATCCGATGGAGCATGGGGCCAACGAACAAGAGCTCTGGTGACAGGCTCAGGGCCCAGTGCTTTCTAGGGGCGCCCCCACCCTCCGATACTGGAAACTGGGGGACCCGTCTGTGCTGGGGCCAGGCAGGCGCCATCAGGAAGCAGGGCGGGGGGTTCCTGCGGCCTCAGCTGCAGGACCTGGGACACAGGAGATGGGACACTTGGAATATTAGCTCTTGTCACTATTTTTACCTGGTGGTCCATGCATGAATTCATTCACTTATCCTAGAGAACGATGCTTATATATTCACTCCCTTATAGATTGATATACTTAATAAAGAAGCAGGGGGTTTACTTGCCATCCCCATATATCTTAAAGTTGTTGACAAGCTCAACATACACAATGATTAATTCCCTCGCTTGAGAATACAGCTCCTTGTCCGCACTTTGCACTACGCTTTCCTCTCCTGAGAGCACCGGGAGCTTCAGTCCCTCCCCACCCCCGGCTCAGTTCATCTCCACGGCTCATCCACCGCGAGACCCCCACGGGCAGGGACCCCGGGCGGGGGGGTGGGGGAGGGAGGTCGGGGCAAGGGGCGCGCCCTGCGACGGCCTGTGTCGCGCAGAACTTGCGTGCCAGGCCGCGCGGCGCCAGGCCACCCCGAAGCCAGGACTGACTTGCTGGCTCGGTCCGCGTCGCTGTCCTCATCCTGCCCGGGGCCGTCGGGGCTCCTGCGAGACCTCCTGGAGCGCGCCTGCGGGAGCAAGGACGGCGGGTTGGTGGCGGTGGCACGTCCGCCTCTTCCATGACATTGAAAGGAAGACCTCTGAGAGCAGTGTGCACTCAGGGGTGTGAGCGTTACCCCCTAACTCGGGGATCTGGGCAGGAAGGAGGGAAGGAATCGGGGCTATTGCCTGTATTTTATATCTTGCTGGTTCTCTCAGTGGCCAGTGAGCCAAGCAAAATAAGGAAGGCATCATTTTACCCCTTAATATAAAATTATTCTTTAAGGGAGGCAGAAGGCCCAAGCCAGGAGACTACCAGACTCCGCGTCGGTTTGGCCGCAAGGAGCCAGGGAAACGTCTCCTTCCCTTTCCCTGGACGAGACAGTGACCGCCCGCTGTCGCCCCCGCAGTTCCCGCTTCGGTCACTAGATGGCAGACAGACCCTGGCCAGGCAGGCGCTGGGCAAATGTAAATGTCTCAGGGGCCGGGGGCTGGGGTACAGGACACCGGCAGGGGAACGCGCAAAGGTAGTGCTGAAACTTCATAAAATGCAGATGCTGAAGATGCTGATCATGTGCGACGTTTCGAAAGCGGGTGCTCTCTGCGCTGCCACCCCCACCCGAGCTGGAGCGGCCGGGGGCCCAGGCGTTACCTGGCCAACCCCAACGGCTCCGCGGCAAGGCCCTGAGCACGAGCAGTTTTGAGGCCGAGGACCGAGAAAAAGTATGTGCATGAAATAACACGAGAATAAATTCAGAAGCTCTGCTCTGCAGAATTGTAACGGCAATACCTCAGAACCGCCTGCGGTCGCAACCTGAAAAGGGCTTTGAAAGCCCGTGGCCGTTTTCCGAGGCGGAGCCCGGAGCACAGGGGCAGGCAACGTACTTCCACAGCCCGGTGTCAGCACGCGTGCCAGACGCGTTTTGGGCTCTATTTCATTACAGATCTATCCGATGATGAATTTGGGCGAACATTTTCCCCCATTTTACAAATCAGGGACCGCACGCTCTGTGGAGGAAGGCGTCTTGGGCCAGACCAGCCGGTTCTGACGGGGCACGGCGCTGGGCAGGTGTCACGCACTCTTGTCATCGTCACACGAGATGAGCACGTCCCTGGGGGCTCCAGCGAAATCGGTGTCTCAGAGCCACCCCGGGACAGACCTTTGCCGAGTGGCAAGTCTTCACCTCGTTCTTAAAGCAGGTGGCGGCCACACCATGACCCAGAGGGACAGTGCAGGCAGACGGCAGGACGAGGGGACAAGAGAAGGGCCCACTTTTCCAAAGACACTGGAAACTGAAGCGCCCGTCAGTCACCGGGAGGGCTCAGGAGACAGGCCCAGGGAGACCTTGACGTGGCCCAGGACCATGCAAGGCCCGGCGGCCCCTCCTCCCAGGGCACGGGGCCGTCTGCCTCCCGAGCCTCCCTCGCGGCCCGCCCCGCCGCCCAGGTGTCCCCGCCGCCCGCCCCGGCGTTTCCTTGTCGGCCCATTCCTGTCTTACCGAGGCCTTGACACCGAGAATCGTATCTTTTCATTCCTTTTGCTTCTAACTCCGCTCCCATGCAGAAAGCCAAAACAGCCCAAGAATGTCAGCCCCCGCCCCAGCAATGATAAAAGACTCAACCGTCCAAGACACACAACCACCACTTCTCTCGAGCGCACGAGGGAGCCGAATCCCGCGGCACCGGGCCCCTCCAGAGTCAGCCCCAATTAACAGAGTCAGAGCCCACGATGTCCGCCCCCGGTACGTAACTAAGAGTAAAATATCGAACCCAGAAAATAATGCTAGCTGCATTTTATTTTTCAGATTACCCCATCAACATACAGGGGCCGGCAGAAGGAACGCCATCGAGCGCGGTTGGTGGCGTACGTGAATGTCGCGCACGAGTGGGAGAGCAACTTGAACATTTCACCCACCATGTCGTGGTGAGCTTGAGTGTGGAATGCTTCTGCTACAGAATGACACGCTTATGACTTTGTGATGCAAGAATGTTACATCATAAAAAAGGGGCGTTATTTGTGCCGGACCCTGTAAAACCACCCTAAATGTGAGTGTGTGCGGAGAGCGTCTTAAATAGTTTCTGTATTGAATACAGCAAGAAATCTGAACAGAAATTGCAATTGGATTTTGGTTGCAAAAGTGTTATCTTACAAATGTTAAAGACATTCATAAAGGCAAAGAGGAAATAGGCTTGTGAGTCAGTATGGTAAAAACAAAACAAAACACCCAAAACCATAAATTGGTACGGGGGCGCAGGTTAACTTCAAATATTTATACTCGTCTAATACTTTATGTTCTGTATCGGGAACTACAGCGATGCGCGGGAGGCGCCAGTCCGGTGCCGGCTGTGACAAGGCTCTGCGACGCTCTGTGTGTCTGTTGATCCTCCTGGCAACTGCTCTGTCTTGCGGGACCAAGAGGCGGCAGCGGCGACTTTACAAAGAAAAGGCTGGCTTTTCTCTTATCCACACTAACGCTGCTCTGACCAGCCTTAAAAGCAGCTCCACACACAAAACATGAAGAGACGCCACCATTTTGTTACCCCAGGTTGTCTGGGAGAAGAATAAGAATTTGTCTATAAAAACTGGGTACTTTTGGAAGAGAGACCTGTTTTTAATTTCACACACACAGAAAGCCCCTAAAATAATTCAAGAGGTAACCAGGGAAAAGTCTCACGAGGTGAAAACAAAACAGAAAATGCTGAGGAAAAGCACTAGCGACGTGATTACTGATGTAAAGTCTAAAATGGGAACATCCCCTGTATTTACTAAATGGAAAAACCGAGTGCCTTTGTTTTTGTTTCAAGACTTTGTAACAAATGACAGGGCTGTTTGTGGTAATAAATTTGAAGAGTAAAATTGTAACATTGAAAAGGTACATTTGACCCAAAAATATCTCATAATATATACTGAACATGTTTCCCTAAGTAAGGCTGTCTTCCATTACACCTTTTTAATGTGCTGAATATTATTCAGCTGAACTAAACATTTTAACATTGAAGCGCCGGCCACGTCCTGAAAGGAGGAGTTGGTTTTGAATTATTTCTTTGAAAGAATAATGTTCTCGAACAATTTCATGACGGTGTAAGTGCCTCACTGTGCACACCATTGTGTTTCTGAAAAAGACCGGTCTGAAAGGTAAACCATTATGAATTTTGTCTTGTGTGACGATCTTTTTTCAAGGATGGAAGTAGCATATAGTGTCCGCTAGAGGGCACCCTTGTACTCCAGAACGGAATTTGGGGGGCGGGGGACGCAGGGCACAGACTGAACTTATAATTGTAATTGCCATGTTGGAAATCAATATTATTTCAACAAAAAAAAAGAAAAAAGAACTTCCTTTAAAATTATCAGTATGGTATCCATAATTTTGAAACTGGGCTTAAGAGATCAATTTTAAAAATCTGTGACATTAGTATAAATTAGACTAAATACATCCTATGGAAAAGAGCGACTCTGGGACAGAGACTGAGACAATGTGTTTCCATTTAGGCAGTATTTTTTGTGGGCATCTTTAAATGGAAACATATTCACTTAAGACATTAAAAAATATTTATCACTTAAAACTTTCTAATAGATTTCCTTAGCACTTCAATTGGGTATTTTAGCTTGATCATAGTAACAGTATTCTCAATACTGAGTCGAATTAAATAAAGCACTAAGAAATTAAAAAGTGGGTTTGTTTGCTTATCATGATTTGGTTAAAATTACTTTTATTATTTTGCAAGATCTATTCTTTCGAACGATCTGGGCCGCCTCCCGCAAACACACGCCCCTCCCCCGACTCACTGTGCCCTTTCTCACTGTGATTTACCGTCCCTTTTTCTTGGGCGGAAGGAGTGACTGGCTACTCCCGTCCGCAAACCAATGACTATGCCGTTTCTTTCTTGGCTGATAAAGCAAAGATCTTCAATGGACTGTATCTGCCCAAAGAGCCAAGCGTGCCATTTTCTGAAGTCTATTATGCTGCCTGAGCAAGAAACACCATCTTTAGTTACACTTATTTTATCCCCAGAGCCCACTGATTTCCAGCAAAGGAAAGCGTGTCCTAAGCACAGTGCGCAGTCCACACCTGGCGGGGCGGGGCCGCGCCCCGTTTTATGCTTTGGAGCCAGATAATTTAGAGAATCCAAGTTTTTGTCTTTTCCCATAAGTTTCACAGGAAGTTCATCTGTAGCATTTTAAAACATGAAACTCATCTGATTGCTTGTATTTTTAAAAACATGCTCACGCACTGGGACTTCTTGTCAGCCTCCGTCCAACCAGAGTGTGGCTTTGAGATGCCTGACCTGCAGGTCTTCACCTGCTAAAAAGGATGCATAACTTCTAAGTACATTCTTTAAAGATGAAATTATATTACTCATCAAGTATAAAGTGAGCTTGTTGCTGTTGCGCTCGAGTCCACCAATCCATTGGGATGATTTATAAACCAATAAATACACGGGACGCAAGAAGATAGCAAAGTTTCCTTTGAAGTGTGCACATCACCTTGTATAATGGGTAAAAAATGAAACATCACGTAGGTGATATTTCACAGTGTACACATCTCCCCTATTTCTACATCCAAAGATAACTATTCCTATCTCTAGCACTTAGTCTCTATGTGAACATGCTTAAAAATAGAATAAATGACCATGAGTTCAACAGTCCTTGGTGTTATTCGTAGAAAATATGACTATTCAACATGCTTCTGTTTGGAAATGCGGTATCTCGGTGAAAGTCTTGACTACTTGGAAAAAGAGCCTTTCATTCACATTTTCTATGCGGCTCTGACCTAATTACCTGGATGTGTTGAAAGTAAATCTGAGGGGACTGCGATCTAGGCCGGACGCGAAAGAGTTAAGAGCGCTGCGTGCCAGGGCTTTCCTGGGGCTCAACAACAAAGAGCCTTTGCCCTGCACCACCACTAGATCCGCGGTGTTTTGCTTGCTTAGGGCCATCCATCTGTTAATGTTGACGTGGAATCCAGCTAAGCTCTCGCCGACAGTTCACCAGTCTGGCTGGCTGGGCGTGTGTGCGCGTGTGCGCGCTCGCGTGCGTGTGTGTGTGTGTGTGTGTGTGTGTATGTGTGTGAGAGACATGCAGACACACACATTATTATTAGAATAAGAATGGCTAACGTGATGAAAAATGGGGCAGCATTTTAGATCCACATACACTGGACCTGTTATTTAAAGGAACTTCTGATCCTTCGGAAATGCCACTAGATTTCTACAAATAAATATTCTGAAACGCCATTTCAGATGGCAGACCCGGTCTAAACAGGGCTCATTAAGTCCGCAGCGTTTGCTGGGGAACGCGAAGGACGGGAGGAGGAGGCTGTGCGGTCACGACCGCAGCCGCCCGACAGCTCGTGTTCTCTCCGGGCCCGGCCCTGTTTTCAATAAAGCCCGGGCCGCGCTCCCTGGGGCCCTGTTAGGCGGTGGCGGCTGCGCCACCGGCACCCTCCACAAAGAGGGGAAGGGCCCGGATGGACAAATGGGAAGTCTAATTGGGCGCTCTTCTCGGTCGTACCCTTGACATTTACTTAAGCCTCATCAACAGAACGGGAAATAACCATACTAATTAGCGACCAACACACAAGTTACTGTTTGCTGGGGAGTAGATGGAGGCTCACAATCGATTCCAGAGACGAGCTCGGCCTGGAGCACAGGCTGAAAGCAGCCTGCGGTTTTGCTCTCCGGTCTTTTCAGCAGCGCTCAGACCGGGAAACGTGCTCGTCCCACTTTCAGACACCTTCTCGGAATGTAAATGACCATAATCTCATTTCCACCTTCTGAAAATCAGATGAAAACAGCGCATTCCCCTTGCACCGGGCTAGCTGGAAACCGGAAACGAAGAGCCCTCCGTGTCGCCGTCGAGACCGCGCTCTCCCGTGGGCAGGCCCACGGGCGAGCCCCGGGCGGGGCAGGTCTGCGCCCCACGTTCCGTAGCTTCGCTGACAGCAGGAGGGTGCACTCAAGGGCTCAGAAACCCAGGCGGCTCCTGGCACGAGAACCGTGGGTTTCTCCTCGAATCAACCACTGGGACCTTAAAGTCATTCCCGCTGACGTGGGAACAGACAATTTTGGGGTCCCCATGAGTGCGGTGACCAGAGCACGGCTGAGAGCCGGGGAGGAGCTGCCGCGGGAGGAGGCGGCCAGACGACGGGTCGCTCTGCGAGCCCGGAAGTGCAGGGCGCGCACCTGTGTAAACAAGGCTGCCGGCCGCTTCCCGCGTCGTCTGCAGCTCCTGCCACATCCTAGGGAACGACAGGCCTCGCCCCCATCCTGCCACCAAGGCAGAAAGGGAGGCTTAGGCATGTTGTGTTTTGCTCAACGCTAGGACCGTTCTCACAGTCCAGCCAGGCTGCCAGGGAACTCCACCCCCTTGTCTCGAACGACTCCTCCTGGCTCCACTGAAGGCCAAGGCCAGTTCGCCAGTTCCTGACTCCATCTGTCCTCTGTCCGAACCCCACTGTTCTATTTATTACCTGCAGAGACGTGGGCGCACTTCTGAGCCCCTCCGCTTCTCTGTCGCTAAGTTGGACAAGTAGGGACGATAGTGCCCACTCTGCACAGACGCTTGGGCAATCTAAAGTAATCATGAAATGCACACCCGCCCCGCAATAGCTTCGCCAGGAACAGCCCCTCCTTCTACGTCCCGAGGCTGCTCCCAAGACCTTAGGTCCTATTTCAACCTTACAAAAATCGAGGTTTGGAAAGTAGTAGCGACAACATCCACAGTCACCTGGGTCACCAAACTCAGCAGGTCCCTACGAAGTCTGGCTTTCAGGGAACAGAACCGGCCACGGGACAAGTCTCTTCGGAGAACCCAGGCAGGGGACTGACCCGGCAGAAGACGGGGCAGAGCGTGGAGCCCCCCACCCCGAGCAGCTGGTTCTGGCAGGAGGACCTGGAGCCCTCGAGCTCAGGGAGCTTTCCAGAAGGAAGAGTGCGGTCTACGGCATTTTGGCTGGTAGCCTTTTTAATTTTTTAAAAGCAGTTCCACGGCCACATGAAAGCACAGAGAGCAGCTGGGAAACGAGGCCTGAGCACTTCAGACAGGGCAGAAAAGACCGCGCGAAGGGGAGCGACCTCTGTCTCTAGGGGGCAGTCCGCCCCTGCCAGGTACCCCAGCCCAGGGCTGGGCTCCTGGGACCCTGACTTCGCCTGTGGACCCATGGTCCCTGCCCCACTTCCTGAGGTGGCTGTGCACCTGCTGAACAACCTTTCAAACAGAATCTCGTGCTTTATGATTCATGGTAGTGGGCTCTCCTCTCCTCAGTGGCTGCTAATCAGAGGAAGGGGCCTGAGCTTCTTACTACACTTCCTTCTCTCTGCCTTGGTCTAAATCAAATGAATTGTAATCTTTTATTCTATGGTTTTTTTTATACGGTGTCTATTTTTGGCAAAAGGTAGACTATAAATGAATAAACAGTAGCATCTCCGATGGACTGACTGACATCAAGATTCCGCTCTCCCCAGAAACGCTTACATATCTCATTAAGGATCTTCATGTGCTCAAACCTTACTATTATTACACTTGGAGAGGCAGGTGCAAAAGGACACATCTTCTTCACGTAATAATCTACTCCCCACAGTAAACATAACCTCCAGACCAGCGTCACAATGGCAGGCTGGACGCCTGGAGCTGCAGCCGCAAGCACTTGGCCACTTTAGGACAGTGTTTTAAGGAGCACCGGCACGTACGCAGAGGCTTTCAATATTCATAGCACATAAAATATCTATCTTTGGGAAAAAGTATATATTACTTGGTATTCTATTTTCTACAGATTATTTTAATGGTCAAAGTCCCACGTGTGAATCTCAGATTTCCTGTGTCGGCGACTGCACGTAGAACTGGGCCCCGCTCACGGGACTGAGGGCTCTGTGAGGACATCAGGAGGCCCGTGGGCCTGCTGCCTGGAACCGCTGGTCCCCACCCCTGCCGCCGCCCGGGGGCCCCCCACTCATCTCCCCGACCGTGGCTGGAGGCCTGCCGATACCGTGACAGAACGTTATGGGGCCAAGAGCGTTCCTGCGGGTCCGCGGGGACCACAGAGGGTCAGACACGAGGAGCTTAGTTGGAGACGCGAGGGCGGAAGCTGTACCTGCGTGAGCTTGTGCCCCCCCGGGGTGCCCCGCTCCTCGCTGTGCAGGGTGTACGTGGGGGCGTACGGCGCGCAGCCCGAGCAGGTCCCGCAGCCGTCCTCGCTGTCCTGCACGTGGAGACAGAGACAAGCCCTTACTGTGAAGTCCTGCCCTGACGGTCCCCAAAGTTCTGAAATTCATCAACAAAGAGCCCGACACAGATGGAAGTAACAAAATAACACACCCGGTGTAAGCTTAAGGAGCCTCGTTAGGAAAAGAGGCTTTCCCGCATTTTTCTGTATTATGAACGAACAGTTTCTGAAATAATCTCTATTTTGAATAATTTGAGTAAAACTCCTATGAAGATCATTTATTCTCTATCACTAGAACAAAGGTTTTAAGCAGTATTGTTCTTTTCCAAAGGTAAAATTTCAAAACATAACCACCGATAACATCTGCCAAGATGTAGTGTCATCAAATCAAACACACACATAAATATTCACATACAGGCAATATTCACAGATTCAAATACACACCCTCAAACACAAATGTTTTGAAATTAAAAACCTGCTTAGTTTAGCCCTGGCTGGTGTGGCTCAGCTGGCTGGCATGTCACCCCGTAAGCGGAAGGTCATGAGTTCAATTCCCAGTCAGGGCACATGCCTAGGCGCCTAGGTTGCAGGTTTGGCCCCCGGGTAGTGCATATGAGAGACAACTGATCGATGTTTCTCTCTCACACTGATGTTTCTCTTCCCCTCTCTCCCTCCCTTCCCCTCTCTCTAAAATCAATAAGAATGTCCTCAGCTGAAGATAAAAAAATTAAAACATGCTTAAAGTGTATTGGAAAAGTCCTATAAAACCAAATGATGACATGGCTTCATTCGGCACCAAAAATCATCTTTTTTAAAAAATGTATCCGTTTGAAGTGCGACTTTCCGTAGTGATCAAGGCGATCACCTTGCTGGAAACACGCGCCCTGTTCCGGTGTCTTTGAGGGTCTCGGTCGCTCTGTGATAAGATGCGCAAACGACAAAGAGGCTGCTCGGTGGGTGTGCACAGAGTGGCGGAGAGTTGCCAGAGGCCTCGTATGAAAACCACGTTCCCGGATGTGAGGGCGATCTGGCTGCGACATCTGTCACCCCATTGATCGCCAGGGTTGATTCGGCTGATCTGGCTGGCTAGGCGGGTGTCCCCTTCCTCCCTCACCGATCCATGTGCGTCCCTCCCGAAGCTGCGCGCTCGGTCGAAGAGGACGACCTTCCCAACTAGAGGAGAGGACCGGTCTTCGGTCAAGGGTATACGAGTAGCTGCGCTCCCCTGCTAGAACCTCCAAACAAGCTCTCAAGGTCCATTTGTAGGAGAACGTAGGGTAGTCAAGCTTCCAAGACTCCAGACACATCCAAATGAGGCGCTGCACGTGGCAGTCTGCCTTTCTAAAAAAAAAAAAAAAAAAAAAAAAAAAAAAAAAAGAAAACCACGTTCCCGAACACAGGCCCCGGCCCGTTCCAGGGGCCGCGCAAACGCCCGTCCCCTGGCACCTGGGCAAGGTGAGCCCCCGCCAGCGCGGGGCGCAGGGGCCGCGGGACGAGGACCACCTACCTTGTGCTTCAGTTTGCTCTTCACCTCCTTTATGCCCTGCTTCGCCTGGCTCTTGGCCTGGAGGACGAGAGGACAGTCGTCGAGCTCAGCACGCCTCCCTCCCCGCTTCCACAGTGAGCACACGGGCCCCGCGGGGTGAAAGCTGCTCGCTGTTCACGTCATTTAGAAGAAGAACGAGTCATGCTATGAACCTGTGTTTTCAGGGACACCGGGCCGCTTACTCTTATGCCTAAACTAGTTGGTGAAAACACACTCTCTGCTTACGTACAAATAAGAAACAAAGGCTGACCTTGAGCCTGTTCTGCCTCCTCAGCCGGACAGAAACACGAGCCGGCCGGCGTCCTAACGCACAGTCCTCGTTAGAAACGGTGACTGCATGGGGGAGGGGCGGAGCGCGCGCCTCGGCCGCAGGCCCCGGGCATACTCCTGGACTTTCAATACAGTTTCTATCAGTAGAGCTGTCTTAATGTTACACTTATGTCCTGTACATTTTCTCTGGCAAAAAGGAAATGTCCTCGCCAATGTGCCCACTGTCTTTGGGTTGCACGGGGCCCGACTCCAGCGTGGAGCCCAGCAGGCCCTGCTCTGGTCCCCGCGGGGACACCTGAACCGCAGACACGGGGCTCTCACAGCAGCCTTGGACTTCGCTCCACCACAAAGCCCCACGGGCGGCCAGAGCGAGAGCCCAGAGAAATGGGGCTTTGTTTTCCGTTTCTGCAGCACAGGGCTGGGTGCTGGGGGCCTGGCCCACGTTGTCTCGTTCAGCCACCGCAACGACTCTATGAAGTTGCTGCTATTGCTCTGCCACCTACACGCAAGGAAAGGGACTCAAACCCAGTCGAGTGACATCCTAAATCCAACTTCTTCCCTTCTCAAAAGAGAGGGACCAACTATGGTTTTTAAAAATATGTTCACGGGCTCTCAGCCTCACGGAAGAAGAGGGTCACGAGTCTCGCTCCAGAGGCCTGGGAGCTCGGGCTGGGCAGGCTCGGGGCTTCCAGCCCAAAAGCCCGCTGCTCCCCCAGACCACCCTGCTTTCCCAGGGCGCTGCGTGGAAGAGTAAGTACGTCTCCCCAGGCTCATGGCAGGGAAGGCCCTCGCTTCTTTCTTGTTAAAAAAGGGGACGCCACGCCCAAAATGGAGCCACTTGTGCTAAGCCCATGTCACCACGATGTCCTCCCTCACCTAATTGTAGGTCCGTTCTGTCTTGGGAATGTGGCCTTATATCAGTCAATCTGGAGCGTCCTGGTCAGCGGTAGCGAGGGATTGGCTGAGAGCCCCTCCCTGTCCCCTTCTGTCTACGAAATCCTTCCATTTTGCACAGCTTCCTAGAGATCCTGTCTATGGGCTAGAAGGGATGCTGCCTGATGCACGCGTTGTTTTGAAAAAATTCAATGTGGTCTTTAACTCTACTCAGCTGAATTTTCTTTTCCAATGCCAGCAACATCTCTGGTGCCCAGCAGAGTATTTGGCATGGAGCGGCTGCTCAAGAAATGTCTGCAACTGAACTCAACAATTACTTCCTTATTGTAAATGAGGCAAAATTAAAACATAATAAACGTGGTGAAAGATAACATAAAAGGCCAGATAACACTCATATATCACCATGGTTCTTTAGAATTAATAAAGCATTTTCCATTCAGTATTTTATTGGTCTAGCCACCGGATCAATTTAAAGGGCCCTATGTTAATTCCTACATACCAGTTAGGTAAAAATGAGTAATTACCAAAAAAAAAAAATATATATATATATATATATTCATTCCTTTTCCCCATCCCCTTGAGGGTTTACCCATTTGGACTGTATTCCAGTTTCGTAAATACCCTCTATCCTTTTGGGATCCACCTCACTCCCGCCCAAGTTTCTCGATGCTCCTTGCGTATCGGTGATGGCTCTGTTAGGTCAAGGGCTGGCTCTTTTAAATGTCTGCTGCCTCACTTCCTGCACTGGCCTCCTTCAGACTCTCTGGAAGACGGGGTTCAGTCTCTCCATCCTTTTCAAGTTACCAAGCGGACGCTCACCGCTACATAAGTATCCCCTACCAAAAAGTGCCCCGCACATGGCTTTGGCTAATCATTTAACATGCAAAGACTTAACAAAGAAAGCTGACTCTGAAAATCTGTTGGCCAAATCAAACGTGCATTCACTCTGCCTTCACTGTGAGAGCTGAGAGCGAGGGTGCAGCGGCCCTAGTGCCCCCCACGGTCCCCAATGGCAGAGGAACCAGACTCACAGGAAGCAGGAGGGAAAGTTCTCAGTCAGCGACAAAATCGATTGCAATTTCTACTGTTCAAAATAAAACACTCCACTCAGGAGAAGGATGTCAATTGAATAATAAAAGAGGTTTTGAACATGTTTGCTTTATCTCTGGGCTTTCATGGACAATATGAGTGAAACTAAGGAGAAAAAACATGCATTTAGCAAAATAATGCAATAAAACTTCTCTGAGTATGAAGATAAACTTTGGGTGTTCGGTCAAGGAATGCAACAAAAGGCTCCTGACTGAGCAGCTTTCTCAGAATCTCGAATATATGTGAGCAATGTGGTGTGGCATTAGCTTGATTTTTCACATGGCAGCAATGTGCTCTTTCCTTGTGAAAGCTAAAAATTTCTTTAAAAACCTAACCCTAACCTGACTGTCCTTAAAAGACAAATAGAAAACATTCCAGACTTACATGTCTACTACCTAGGAAAATGTAGTAAATTTTTATCAATACAATTTTAAAATATCAAATGAAAACTCACAAACTTATATGCTGTCCGGACAGCGGGAGTTGCTTTGGTCATCGCTGAGTTGAACAGGGCACCTCCTTTCTGAAAAGGAAAAACGGGCACTAATTTCCAAACATTTGGGTCTGATTGTCCTGGAAGTAAAGCATTATGAATAGTGTAGAAAAATAACTTTAGTCCTGAGTTAAACAAAGACCTATAAAAATTATTTAGTGTTTAGTGATTTCAAGCTTTTATATACTACGGTAATTTTAAGCAAAATGTAAATATCCTACTCTATTTTTTTAGTCGGCCTAATACATCGTTTAAAAGTCATTTCCCCTTCGCAGCTTGGGCAGTCCTGGGCAGTGTGACCAGAAATAGGTATATATTTAAAGCTTCATAAAAAAATGCAACTGCGTATCAACTACTTTAATGTTAGGCAATGAAGTCTCAATTTGTGGGAGAGCACTTTGTTTTAAAAGTCATATGAACAAAGACATTACCAGAAATGATAAAACTCCCATCAAGCGGTACTATTCCACCTACTTCCTTGTTTTGGAATAAAATACAAGGTGGCAGAAAAATCTTGCTTTTCAAAACAAGCCATTTATCTCGAGACAGAAGCTTTCCATTTTAAAATTATATTTATGAACACCAACAAACTATAAGCATAAAACAGAAATGTCTAAACATGAGAAAATATACACTTAAAATATTGCCGATAAACAACATACTTTCACTGAACAGAGTCGATAGACAGAGGAGAGAAAGAGAATCTGGAAAACGTTACTACCTTGACTGTGCGCACCCACTGCTGGTAGGGCCTCGGGCTCCCTGGGAAATGTAGAAATAAAACGTCAGGGACTATCCATCAAAAGGAAAACCATCAACCAAGATTTATCAAGAACCAATATTTCTAGAACTTTAAAAGCATATTGCATTTTTCTGCAATGCTATGAAAGAAGCAATCGTATATTGTAAGAAGTAATAAATTGCTCTAATTCTCAGGAACACAGTTAATTACCATTTTTAAGCATAGACACTTTTTCTTTACTCACATATGAAGCTAGTTTTTTAAACTATTCGATTGTCTTTCATTTTTAATATTATCTTCCACGGGGAAAATATAACCTCTCTTTTGAAAGCCAAAATTCCCATGTCTTTCAAACAGATTTTTCAGTATTTTATGTCTATGTTGTTTTGTAAACGTTTTGCCTCTTTTAAGCAATTAGGGTTATTACAAAATGATGTTTCACGTGAACAGTGACAAAAAAAACTAAAAGGGTATTTCAAAACACAACAACCCTTGAGGACAAAAAAAAAAAAAGATTTTCTGTGGATGTTCTATATTAACATGAATTGGCCGCAAATTTGATTTCAATGCGATTAGCCTGGAGTCGCGGTTTGAAACTATTCTCTAGTTAGAAATCCAAATGTGAAAGATATTACCCCCCAAAACTGGGGCAAACGCAGCTTCTAGGCTGAGGGCATCATGGTTACTGGGAAGCTCAGAATGTGACAAATCCAGTCCTAATAAAACCAGCAATCATATGCCCCTCCAAATGCGATAATGCAGTCAATAAGATGGCATCAGAGGGGGGAAAGTGATGAAGCCACACAACTAATCTAAAGCAATGTTCTCTAGCCACTGACTTGAGTTAGATTTCATCTGCCTTCTTGGTTGTTTAAATGCTTAAAAAAGCCAAGTCTCAAGGGCTACTCAGAGCCCATCCAGGACACAGAATGCCTAAAACAGATCTTCTCTCTTTTTTTTAAATTGAGGTATCACGGACATAGAACATGATGTATCTAGCTCCTATTCAGCACTTCCCAGTTCTCAGAAAAAATGTTTTTATCTACATTACATTATTTGAGTTGTGCTTTTTGACTCTACAATTGCTAAAATCGGGTAGGCGTCACCCCGGGAGAGGGGAGTGGCTTTGGAGCGGGGGACCTGGGAATTCGGGCTCCCCCCGTCCTGGCGAGCCGTGATCTGGGACAGACCCTCCGCCTGGCACTACAGCGCTCCGTGTGGGGCCCACCACGTCGCGGGCACACCGCAAACGTTAGCAACTATGATACATAACTTGCCAAAGGAGGACACAGAGGTGATCCCTTATTTGCCCAAGGTCCCGAAGATACAACATCCGGTGTTTTAACTCTTGGCTCGGTCCTTCCACTCGGAAACCCTGCCCCTGAGGACGGATGCACACAGCGGGAAGTTATGCAGAGAGCTCCTCTGTGTCCCTTCAAAGCAACCGCACCACAAAGAAAACGTGCGTGCACACCGCGGACGCCTTGAGAGGAAACAGTGCAGCGAGGCCCACCAGTAAGGGCCCGGAATGAAGGGGTTCGGGGGCAAACAGGAAGTCCCTAAGTGAATGGCTTAGGACCATAGGAAAACATGTGGTATAATTTAGGTAGACTCCTGTTAAAAAAATGTGTAATGGGTACTTGTCTCCTTAAATTTAGTGCTTTTAAGATTGAAGGCTCCTGTTTGCACATTTATGAGACAAGCACATTATTCTTTGAAAATGTTTAAGGCTGTTTTTCTCATAAAAATGAATTTGAATACCAAAAAAATCTCTGAGTCTTTCTGTTAAAGTAACAGGATTTGGGGAATAAAAAGCATTATTAAGAAAATTCTTAATATTATTCTTGTTAATCAAACAAGTAAGTTTCCCATAGTCAAAGCACATAATATGTTTCTCATCTGCACAGACTTTCACTTCAAATATATTTGTTTAAGTTCCAGGAATTTGTAGTTACTTATCCAAAAAAAAAAAAAAAAGTAAATTGATCTAAATTGTTCACTGAGGCCCCCCAAAAAAGACACTAAAACTGGAAATTGACCTACCACCCCTTCAAATTCTTCTGCTACCTCAGTCAGGAAAGGAAAAAAAAAAAAAAAAAGAACTAAAATTAAATGAATACAAGACCGATCAGTTCAGATCAGAAAACCCACGAAGACGACAGTGGCATTCACGGAGAGCAGCTGCACCTTGCCACAGAACGTCGGTCTGAGAAGGTTTCTCATTTTTAAAGTTTACATCATTGGAAGTGGATTTCAGAACTGGTCTTATTTTAAATTTAAAAAAAAAAAAATGTCCTCACCTGCTCCTCCTCCAGCGCTTTGGCATAGACCAGTATCTGTGTTGCACCCTGTTCTACCTGACCTTTCGCCTGTATTACCTTTCACCTCTCTGGCTGTCGTTCCCTTTGTACCTTTCCTGCGAAGATAGGACGCTCCACAAGGGTCCGTGGAAGGAATCCGGGGGAACAGGGATTTCCTTCCCAGTCCTGACCACGGGGACTCCCGGGGCAGCACACGGATTCCGGAAATCTCTGAGCAACCATCGCACTGTTAACCGGCGATCTAGCCTGAGTGTGAATTCAGACGCCTGGTGCGTTTCTCATCAGATCCACGAGGATCCTAAAGCTTCCCCATGGTCACGTTCATTTGATCACAACCATGCGCATCAGCAACAAGTACGGCAGTTTACCAACGGCCACCACAGGGACAGGGAAAGGGGACGTCAGAGACGCTTCTGTGAAAGCTCCTGATTATTTTTGCTTAAAGGGACATTATTTTTTCTTCTGCGTCAGTGAATGGTGATTTCTCTTAGAGTGACCTGTGTGAGGGCTTTATGTATTAAAAAAAAAAACAAACAACCTTCAACAGATATTCGAGAGATGGGAATTCTACTTCCATCTAGATAGAGTAGCAAAGGCTTGGGCTCTGTGTTGTTCGCTGAATGTCTCCTAATGAGGAAGATCTCTTACCACAAGCAAGCCCTGCATTAGGAGGCATTAAAGTGAGCACTTGGAGGTTAAGTAGTCACCTTAGTTTGGACTCGGGCACCACAGGGCCACGTACCCTTGAGCGAGTGATGGAGGTGAGCACGCGATACCAGGGACAGTCATCTAGAGCCTCCCAGGGTGCGGGGGGCGTTAAATGAGATTCAACGTGTGGGGCTCTTATGGGAGCTGCCGCGATGTATTAATATTCAGTAAATACAAATAGTTATTTACCATGAGCACGGTGACTACGAGAGAAAGGGCCAAGTTGTGACAAGTTACTTCTGGGAAGGACAGTTCAATATGATGACACAGACATGCATCTTCCGTCTCACAAACGTCATCCGGATGGCGACGCGCAGCAGCTGACTTCTAGAAACTGTTTTTGGAACTATATCTACATTTTGTTTATAAGTACATTATCAACTTTTATTAGACTACTTATCTTTTTATTTCAAATTCTTAATAAATTTTGCTTTATTTTCTTCTAAGCACCATCCATATCCATCTCTAAGAAAATAACCTGTACTATTGTAATTAAAAAGTTACACTGAACAGCCAGGCATCATTTTTTAACGTACTTCCTTGCTGGATCTACTGGAGTTTCAAATTATTTCCATTTTTAGAAAGAACAAACAAAGCAGTTGGCCTTCAGTTGTACCAACAATGCGATGTCTAAGTCACAGGCCAACCAGTGACCAATATTCTCCTACTCTTTTAAACAGTAAGACCTAGTGTGAAAAATTTAGTGATTTTCCCCACTTCCAGAAAAGCCATTCCCCGCTTCTCTATCACAGAGGACCAATGACTAGAGTGACAGGATTGAACCACACAAAAGGATCATAGTGCCACCCTATTCCTGTCACAAGATGTCATCTTCGATTGCGCAGAGGCCACCAGCCCCACGGGTCCTAAAGCTAATGAGACAGCAGTTATGTAAATGCCCAATCAGCGCCTCCGGCAATTTGTCCGTGAGCTGACAATGTTGGGCTTGTCTGCAGTGAAAAGTAAAAAAGCCTTATTTTAACACAAAAGCTCCATTGAAGCTAAATTTTTACCCAGGAGCGGCAGGGAGGTGGATACTCCACGATGGGCACCTGCTGAGTCAAGTCAACTAAGTTTTTCCCAAAACTGGATTCATTCAGTGAAACGCTGTGCTTCCACCAGGCCAAGGTCACCGCCACCAGGCCAAGGTCAACATGCTCGGGCCACTGTATGTCTTTTAATGAACAAATGACCTCAACAGCTTTTCTAGTTCCATGGTGCAAAAATAAATCTTATTTAAGAATAAAATTAAATTTTGGGAAAGCTGTAGATGAGTACTGTTTGTCTTTTCACGTTTCATTTCTGAATTCTAGCAACTGTTTATTCACACCCAGACTAGAGAACTTTTTTGTTCCAAATTTAACCTACAGAGAGTGGGAAAATGACTGTTATACGAGGTGACAATGAACACATGAAGGGCGCATGCGTGTGTAGTTCGCCCTTTACCTGGTACAACGCTTCATACGTAACAAATGCTCAGCCAGTGCTGGCTGCAGGCACAGGCCAGTCAAGGACTCAGGCACCTCCTGCCAGAGTCAGCACTGTGCACCGGGACGACCAAACAGAGGGTCAGGTCCTGAGCCATTAATTGCCTGGATGAAGACGCCATGGTTTCAATATTTACCTTTCCAAGCAACGCAACTGTTTAATGACATTCACGTTAATTCTATTACGGAAAAGCGGGACGTCGCACGTGCATTACAGGCCTCCCTGGGCCGCGTGAAGGGGAGCCCTGCCGAGGGACGGAAGCCGAGCCGTCCCTCCTGGCGCCGCAGCGGCCCTCGAGCAGGACAGCCAAGGGCTCTGCAGGGCACCCTTGCTCGGCCACGCGGGCGTGAGCGGCGCGCAGAGCTTCCTGTTTGGATGACGTTGCCACCCACTGCCCCACTGCCTCTCCCTGGCCGCCGCGGCCGCCCCGGCGTTGGCTGGCAGCGAGGAGGAGCAGGAGGAGGGGGCGGGAGGCAGGAACTGTGCGTTTCCGTGGTGCCTGTGTCCAGGGATGGTGAGAGATCATCCAAGCGAACAACCGCCCACCCATGAGGCCATCTTAGGGCCTTGGGTGACAGAAACAGGCACAGTACGTGCACAGCACAGCTCTCACAAGATGAAAACGCGTCTCTAAGACACGAAAGATTTAGGAGAAAGCGGTTGTTTATGAAACAGCTTACTATCAGACACAAGTGCAAAAATCAGGACAACTGCTCTCTGAAAAGTACACTGGAAGCCATCTTTACCTCTACAGAAGCCCCCGGAAGTGATCTCTTCTTCAAAGACATCGGAGAAACCCCGTCCTGAGTTTAGCTTTGCCAGCCGGCCGTCGATGAACTGAAATACAAAAGCGTCACAAACGTTCATTTCCATGGATCTCATAAGATTCCATTTTTACTTATAAAGATATTAACGGCAGGCACTCCTAACTACAAACTGTGCCTATACACATACATGTGATGAGGACATTCTCAAACAACTGAAGCAGCAGGCGCTCAGTACACAGCAGATAATGACATAAGTATAAACACGCACAGCACAGACTCTGAGCTCACCAACAGGGGTTGCCGCGGGCGGGAGGGCAGGCGGGCCCTGGGCAGCGTGCCCTGCACACCGCTGAGCGCTGGGGTGCTCACCACGGCCCTGCTGCCCACCCCGCCAGGCCTCGGAGGTCTCGGTCTCCACCCTGGGGCATCGGGGCAAACCTTAGCTTAATGGAACCTGGCTGAGCTGCTCAGCACAGGGCATGACACGCGGAGCATCCCGGAAGCGTTAGTTGTCACGGCTACGGAGGTGAGCCGCACCCAGGAAGACAAAACACCCCTCGTCTACACTCTCACGTCCTCAGGTACAGCCGCGCACCGGTTCAGTCTCACGCGTAACAGGACGTGAGCCCGACGGCCCTAACTCCTGGCACGTGCCCTGACTGAATGAAGGGTCCCAAGTCGGGCTGTGAATGTTAGGATAGTTCAGCTTAAGGCACGTGGACGGGACACATAGAAGGTTATTCGAAACGGTGTTTTTCGCATTCTCAAAGAAGCGGTGGGAGTGGGGAGGACGGCACCGGAGCGCCCAGAGATCCTCTTCAAAATGCAGGCGCCCAGAGCGACGCTTCCACTCTCTGCTCTGCCCCAGTTCGCACCTGTTCCGACAGACATGGCCGGGCAGAATGTTGGGGGTGCGGGAGTAATACTGCGTTTTGAAAATTATTGCTAGGTGATTCTTTTGCTGACCAACGATATATTTCATATCTATGTGCATCACTGAGACTTGGGGACTTTTCATTTCATCCACCTGTGACCAGGATTATGAAAAACCTAGTAGTGCTTTGAGGTTCTCCACTTGTAACGACGGTGAAGTATCTTTGAGGCACTCTCCTACGTAAGAGTCAGAGAACCACACAGGAAACACGTAAGAGATGTTTGAATGGTGGACCAGAAGATTTGGGGAGGAACATAAAATGTTCATTTTCTTCCTGGAACGAATAAATCTACAGTTTTTTCACACGGGAAATTTAAATGTTATCCGGATTAAAATGAAGTGGCTGACAGACAGACACCCTCGCCCTGCCCTAGCTTTTGACGTAGAGGGGTGACCGGCAGAACCCACGGCGGGGCCCTGGACAGGTGCCCGGCACCCCCAGGTGGCGAGGCTGCAGCCGTTGTGGGGCCTGGAGACAAGAGCCACTTACGTGCTGAAGTGAAGAAAATATGGCAAATAAAGCAACACATTCCTGTTCAAATGTGGGTTAGCTCTCTTTGTATTACCATAGATTAATTTGATCAAAAATGTGGCAAGGCAAGTTTAAGGAGACGTAGCCTAAAAGGATAGAGCTGTGGGATTTTTTTTTTTTTTTGACCATGAGCTGCGCCCAGGAAACACAGAGCTCTTTGGGGGCGGGAAGCACAGCTTGCCTATTTCTACAGCCTCGTCGTGCTGGGCTCGCAGGAAGTTTCTGGTAGAACCAATGACCACAACCGTGGCGTCTGGAGCAGCACGGGCCTGGGTCACGACCAGCCGACTCGGAGGCCGTGAAACGGGAGTGCTGAGGGGCGCCTCTGGGGTTCGGGGCGCGGTACCTAAAATAACACGCAGCACCCTTGCCGTAGGCACTGGATGGGCACCGATGGTAAAGTCCACACGCGCCACCGAGCCGCTTCCCGCACAAAGGTGTGCACCTGGTCCACGCCTGCCACGGGCCTGCGGCCAAGAACGCGTGGTTGCTGCCACACAGACGTGCACTGGTGTGGCTTAGGTTTTCAAGTTGAATAATTACAATGTGTGGAACTACTCATTTCATTTTATCTTCAATAAAAGGTAGTAGCTTCTAATGCTGGCATCTTTCTTACACAGAATCAGTGGTTAATTTGTAAGTAAAGCAATTTAAAATGCTTGTGAAATTTGACTTGCACACATTTTCAACACAGCCATAAATCAAACTAAAGTGATCGGATTTGATGGACTAAGTATCATTTTGAAAAAAAATAAGGTGAAGCAGAATGATAAATTTAAAGTAATACATTCCTGATAGTTGGAACAAACTAAGACATCCTTTTAGAGGACTTAATTTCCTTTCAAAGATTAAGGCTACAAGACTTTTTAAAAGGTTTTCATTTTTGTGTTTACTGGAAATAATCCATCCATTTTACTCTGAGTGGAACCATTCAAGTCTAAGAAGAGATAAATCCCAAACTATTTACTGATTGTGCATTTCTGAGGATGAGGAACTACTTCGGGTTACTCAACTGGTGATGCGAGCCAACACAGATTAATCACCCGGTTAACTGCCACGTGTTATCACTGGCTTTGCAAACAATCCTGCCGGTGACAACCAGACACTCACCAACAGACATACTTAGGGAACACGTTTGCTTTTAAAGTCCAAGAAGGCCTTCGTGCGCACACGCGCGCGTCTCATACGCACACACATACAGACACAGGGAGGAGAACTGGGCCTGGGAGAGGGGGCCGCGCGTAACGGTCCTCTTGACTCCGTTTTCTGTTTCTGACTCAATAGCCAAGTGGAGTTGGTTCACGGTCACACACCACCCTGACGACCCAGCAGGGGCCTTCGTCCGGCCGCACGCCGTCTCTGGGCTACGCTGGAAGAGGACGAGTTGTCTTGGGCCACACGTGAGATACAAGGCAACACATAATCACAAAAAACTCTCCTAACGTTTTAAGTACATGTATGAGTTTGGGCCGGGCTGCGTTCACAGCCGACCCTGGGCCGGACGCGGCCCGTGGGCCGGACACCCTGTGGGCCTTTCCCAGCAAGCGAAAAAGAAGAACCCTTCCAGCTACTGCTGCATGGAAATAATTCTGAACTAAAAAAGATTATCTGTGGGAAAAGCTACAACCTCACAATGTGCCTTAACCTGTGGCTCCATAAACAGTCACCCACGTCATTCAGGAAGCTCATCTCTTTAGCGACTGGGAGACACACATTTTGGAAGAATGGGTTTGCAATGCAAGTAGTGACAAGTAACGCAGCTCACAACAATAAAAGCGCCACAGACGTGGCAGAAAATTAGACTGCCGTACATTTTTCAAGGAATTCAAGAGTGCTTTAAGTGGTCTTTACATAAATCTTCACATTTTGCATTTGATTTCAAAAGTGAAAGTTAAAACTCGAAACTAAACCTGCGAAATAATCACAGCAAAACATACATAATTGGAAACCTCAAAACATACCCACAGACATAATTCCATAGTATGGATTCCATAATTTTATTATAAATTATAAGTAAAGTTGATTTAAATCAGGATCTGCATAATTCTTAAGATCAGTAATCTTGTCCCCCTCCAGGGTTGACATCGAAAGAACTGGACTTTGTCAACCCGGCGACATCACCCTACCGTGGGTGACTGGGTACAAGAGAAATGTTGTTAAGCAACAAAACTGTTTCCTGCTCGCTCTGGTTAATATTGACGTCACTCAGCTTTTTCAAAGCGTTTTTATCTTCAAATAACCATGGTGGAAGGAAATTGAGTCAATTTAAAGACATTCCTCGTGGCTTTAAATGCACTTCACTCAGCAATATTGTTAAATGAGAATGAATAGTCATCACTTCAGTTTTTAAAACACAATGAAGGATAAAATAAATATTTTTAACAATGCAATAAAATGTAACGGTCAGACTTGATGACAGGCTTCTTCACAAAAACATGAAGACTCTGTTCTGATCAAAGTCACAGATTCACTTGCATATACAGCCAGTAGGCCCATAAAAATGTCTTGTTCCTCTAAGACACAAAGTGTATGCCTTCCACAGTTCTCGGGCTCTCCACCAGCCAGGGCGCTCCTGGCATTTCCATCTAAAAACCCACACGTTACGCTGTTCATCAGTGTTCCGATGACGTCAGGGGTCTGCACATACGTTACATAAACGTGTAATTGCAACCGACCAATCAAAACTCTGAGCATGACAGTAATTAAATATTTGATTCTTTTAAAAAGCTCAAAAAAAAAAAAAAAAGACTGTCCTGGGCACAGAGGGGGCAGCTCTTTGCGGAGCTGGGCAGAAGGACCCCGCGCCCTTCCGTGAGCTACCCTGAGGCCCTGCACCGAGGCCCGGGGGCAACGGCGCGACACGGCCCCCACCCGCATCCCGTTCCCTGCGGAGGAAACATCGCTGCGTTGCAGAAAATTATCCCGTATCAGCAACCTTTCTTGGACACAAAGATAACTAATCTAATAAAATTAAAGCCTTGCGAGCTAGAAAAAAATACATTTTAAGTCAACCAGAAATCTTTAGCAATTAAAAAAATTTCAGTAAAAAAAAACCAAAACATTACTTTTAAAATATATTAATTACTCAGGGATCTTTAAAATTTCCTTTCTATATAATGCTTTGGGCTAAAAAAAAAAAAAATAAGTAGTCTGATTTAAATATTTCACCTTCTCAATGCTCTGTAAATTTTGACAGGTTAGTGAAAACTACATTAAAGTGTGACAATAAATTAAGTCATCAGATATTTATGGACACCTGCTAAATGCAAGGTGTTCAGTTAGTAGCTGTATATAAACACGAGCTGTTACAACAAGTGGGAATGAGCTAGGTCAGTATAGAGCTTAAATCAAGAGAATGAGGTATGTGAATGAGCAGAAATATATTGTTATTTTTATTTCATTTCGAAGATTAGGTAATCATAGGACTGTTAAGTATAGTAAATTAGCCTACCATGAAATAATGAACAGAAAAATGCTTTGAAGAGTATAAGCAGCCCATTCAGTGCAATTTGTTATTAGAACCAATAATTTAAAACAACATGAATGGAACAATAGTGCCTTCCAGGATCTATCAACACACAGACATTAAATGATTTCCTCCGGA